AGAGAGATTCGCAGAACACAAGTAGAATTAACATTCTACTTTTATAAATGAATTGAATGATTCAATGTGATAATTTAGAAGAAAAATGACATTTACGATTCGAGCTGGATCTTGGTAGTCTAATAATATTTCTGTGTGTATTTAGTACATAGTATAACATATTTTGCAACCTAGTAAACTGCGCACCAATTAATTTGTTGGACTTAAAACACAGTTTCCATTGGAATAGTAAAATATATATAACATGTATTTCCTTCTTAATTATAAATATTATTAGGCTATCAAGATCCAGCTCAGATCGTAAATAATATTTTTTTTCTAAACTGATTGTATATCAAACGGTCTTGTTTCCCTTTATATCGCGATAATTTGGCTATCTGGTTTCTAAAGAAACGTTTTAGAAGGAGAGAGCACATCCTTCAAATATGTAAAACTTAAGAAACTTTGATTGAATGCGAAATGAAAAATTGAAATCTTCTGACCTCCTTTTTAAAAACTCACGAAAATTCGTGTAAATTTAATATTCTCCAGTTTGAGCTCAATGTATTAATTGGAGATTAATCTGTCAAAATTTTCTAAGACCGCCGTTGAATTGAATTCTTCCGACGATTAATCTTCCTGTTTGTTAACACGTTCTACTCACAATCAGTTCAGATCAGTTTAACTGGATAAGCTGGAGGATTAACGGGTAAAGCTTGGGATCGATCTTTCTTTACCTGCAAAAAAAGACCGATTCAGAGAAATGTTAAACGATTTTTCATTGTATTCGGTTTCCAGGTGGATCGACCGGGTTTCCCTTGCGGCTGCACGCGGGACGGTTGCGCGAACAGCACAGGCAGGATCGAATTTAACCCTGTGCGGGTGCGAACGCATTTCATCCATACGCTGATGCGATTAGAGTTGGAAAAGAAGCAGCGCGAGGAGGATGTCGGCGGCGATCACGATCATCTAGTGGACAATCAGGGACAAGGTAGGGGTGCTCGTTCCCTGAGAGACATCGGTTCCTTGGGAATGGACGCTACCGTGGGCGGCGACGCGTGCGCGATCCCGGGTACGGGACCCGGGGGAGGTGGCGGATTCACGACCTTGCACTACGAGACGGGTCACGAGAGTGTCGGAGCTGGCGTGGCTGGTTGCCAACCGGAAGTGCCCGGCACGCGGGAGGACAGTCTGGACTTGTACGCCATCAGGGACGACTGTTACGCGAGCGAAGACGCGGTGGATAGCAGCCAATCGGTCGTCGTGCAACGGAAACTGCACCCGGAATTCGGCCAGGCCTTTCAAAGCTTTTCGCCCGGCGTGCAGAGCGGCGGTGCCGTTAACGGTGGCGGTGGTGCTGGCAATGGCGGTGGCGGCATGAGCTTCCAGCAATCCTCGTATCAGGACTACGGATACGCGAGTCTACCATCCTCGTCGCGGTTCCAACCACCGCAGTTCCAGTCACCGCCCAATCCGGCCGCCTTCGCGCACTACGGGCCCTACGGCGGGCCCCAGGACACCGCGGGCACCGGTCTTCAGGGTGGCTGCGCCGGCCAGGTGCACCAAATGCAGCCGCAGCCGTCGCAGGGCCAGCAGCAGCAACAGCAGCAGCACTCGTCCTACGACGTGACGGTGTTCGCGCAGGATGACGCCACGAGTACCGCGCAGTACACGAATCTCACCAACTCGGTGCAGCCGATGAATGCGACGGTGGTGCAGCAGATGCAGAACAAGCTCGAGCCCTTCTCGGAACTCCTTAGCGGCAGGTATTCGTATTACGGCGAGATGCACGAACCGCAGCAGCACCACGGTACTTACGGTACTCACGGCAAGGTCGCGGAGATGATGGAGCCCGGTCAGGTCACCAGCGAGCAACAGCCCGATGGCGCGTCCGAGGACTGCGACGAGAACTTCGGCGAGATCATCAAGAAGTCCATGGTCGAGACCGTGTCTGCCTAGGATAAAGAAAGCCTATCTCGCGGGGAACTGTAACCAGGACAAGTACTGAGGATGCTCAGTGCGCGCCGAAAGATCGCTGCTGATCTTTTCAAAAGAGGGTGAAGCCCTTTCCTGCTTGCGCGATGAGCTCGAGAACAAGGAACTGGGCCCTTAGCGCTCGACAGTTCGTTTCCCTCGAGCTCTTCGCCCAGGATCGTTTGGACAACGGACTCCGTTGAATATGGAGACACTCGACGCACTCCGTGAACGATCTTGATGGCTCGGTTTCTTCAAAGCCTGGAAGATCGAAATATTTCGGATCTCTTCCAATTTTGCGATAATCTCGAAAAGGAGGACTTCGAGGACAACCTAGACAGAGGAGGAAACTCCGAAATTGTTCACTCTCCTATGCGATACTCGAACAGGGGTGAACGTAGCGCCCTCCGAGGGAGATGGAAGATCTCCCGGGGCCAGGGCATCGCGTTTTTGAGAGATCTCGCCCAGAGATCGTTAGGGAATTTTATGGCTACGACGTGTGCGTCCGCCCGGGATGGAGAGACTCGCGATGTCATCGTCGGCGCCATCCTTAATCCTGAGGATCAACGGATTGGTTAAGGGGATGCTGGAGGGACGTTCCTCGGTGTCGATAATGTCAACATTTCTAATTTTGTTTTCTCTATATTTGTCTTTGTCTAACGAAATGACATCTGTCCTTTGTTCAATTGCTGCGCCGCTCTCGCTACACGCAATACTACTCCGCACGCATACATACATATGAGATTTTCAAGCAAATTTTTCTCTTATACTAAAGCTTCTAGGCTCATTTCTGAAAGCACAACATTATTCTTTTTTGTAATCCCGAGTGCGCTGCATGCTTATTTTATACGTACAAAGTCGAAATTTTTATGTGCAGTAAATGCTGTCACGAGTCGACTGCAAAAATCGATAACAAAACTATATAATTTTTCTCTTTTTTTTTCGTTTTTGATGTAAAATCGACTGCAGCGCACTCCGTTTTTGTGCGCACTTTAATTCTGTAAAAAAGTTTTTTCAATTCCGTAAAGTCAATTCAAAGTTTAGTCCGTTCAAAAAAATGTGGGTAATTCTTGTCACTCCAGCATCCCCCTAAGTCACTTTGCGATACGAAAATTTCGCTATCTTGCAAATCCCATTTCATCGCGATCGAAAATTGATTTTCTTTTGCGATAAAAGTGGAAAAATGATAGCAAATCGTGGAGTCGAATGATCCCGTCCGGTCGACGACGATGTACGTCCTACGAGACGAAGACGAGGATCTAGACCTGGAAGGTCTCGAAGTAGGACCTTCCGAGCTTTGGAATTCTCGTCGGAAATCTTCAAGAGCGATCCGTGAGCAATGGTGGGAAAAGATTTCAACGAGGTTGTGACCAAGAAATAACACATGGGATCAGCTTATAAATTGCAGTTTATAATATCTAACTTTAAGCGTAGAGACGACCGACCGGGAGCGGGTCGTATGCCCTTTTGGGCGAGCCTCGGTCAGAGGCTGCGGATAATGTATCGATCTAGAGCGAATCTGCGCTCGCTCTAATTCGAGAGAATCGTTCTGGAATGCACATGTATACACAAATATACAAATACACACAAAAACACACACAAACAGTCGAATTTTGAAGATTTATATCATTTATATATATTTTATGCAGTATCAAATATATTGAGTACACAATGTACTGTAATATTGAAATTTATATACATATATATATATATAAATATTAAATCTGTATTCAATATTTTTATATAAAAATTTATATAATATTTATATGATTTTCTCATATAAATACTATATTACATTTAATAAAAATATGTACAATTTGTTCAATTTTATAACGAAATTTATTAAATAGAACTCTGATTAAATCGAAATTTACATGATTGATTATTCTCGGTTTTTCACGTCCAAGGTTTTAGTCGAGAAATTTTGCGGAAACAAGAAGAAAAATAAGATTCTGTAAAATGCGTTTTTCGGTGAGGACAAAATTCCAGAGTAAGGATTTTGGATCTCTCGAATCGTTAGAGCTGCCGAAGCGATCTAGAGCGGAATTTTGGAAGCGAGGCAAACGAAGCGAACACAATTAACGTTTCGTTAATTGTTGTCTTTAAACGACGAGGATAACAAAACAAGAACAGCAAAATGATAAAAAGTGCGTTCGTGATGCACACTATTAGCGCTATTGCATCACTTCATCTTTATTGTTCATTAGATGTAAAACAAGGATAGAATGGCGCAATAACGCTAATTGCGCGTTCCGCGAACACATCCAAAAATGTAAACCGAGAAAAGCACACGCATACACATGACACATTCGTAGGAGCGTGAAAATGTGAGCGTTTGTGATACTTGTGCATACGAAAAAAAAAGAAAGAAAGAAAGAGAAAAAACGGTTCAACGCCAAGTTCGTAGGTTAAGAGATAAATTATATGGGACTTTTTTTACGCCGGTCAAGTGTAGAAGCTGCGAATGTTTCCAGTGACGATCGACGAAGAAGCGCGGATTTCGATTTTCTTCTCTCGCGAATTTCAAGCGTGAAGATCTCGAACGTGTCGAGCGCCAGAAAGATATTTTTTCGAAAAAGAAAAAAAAGCACTTTTGCTCTCGCGCGGGCGATCTTTTATATTTATAATTATGCATGTATAAAAAAATGATATATATACAAAATTGCATGTAAAATGATATATTTTAAAATTATATAAGTATATACTTTACGAAAAATATGATGTATTTATAGGAATGTATACAATTGTTATTACTTTATTTTTATAAATAATACTATTATTTTATCGTCACGATCAGGAATCGCGGAATGGTCAAGCAATTTTAATTTGTTTGTTCTGAACGGGAAGTTAATTTTATATATGCGTTATCAGCATATTATATTATGTGTTTTCCCAAATTATATTTCTATAATTATAAATAAATAAACAAATACATATATATATATATACATATACATATAGCGACTATCTCTAGAGCAATCATACTTTTATAATTTGGCGCTCGATACATTTGAAGTTCTCAATTTTAAATTGTTGAACACATTTGTAACTGATATTACGGTGCCTACGTAATTATATACGACTTTAGTCGCGCGATTATCTCTCCGCCCTGAAGAAAGGGGAGGGAGACACTCCCTCTCGGAGGTGCGGGAGTGGTGAAATTCGACGGACACGAGAGATTCAATAAGGGGCGAAGAGGAAGCTCAAGAGAAAAAGGAAGAGGGAAATTCGCGCTTGAGGCGACAGGCTCGGCTCTCCGCGACGAAAAGGAACGGCCGAGAGGGAGATTCGTGAGAGGACACACCGCACCACCATTCACGACGACTAACCATTTTGCACTACCCGTCATCCTCCAAAAATTAAAAAAAAATTAAAAAGATACCGAAAACCAACCAATCGTAATACCCCGTAGAAGACATTTTCAAGAGAAAACGGACCTCTCTTTAGCGCATCCCGGGACGTTGATCGCTGTGTCCACGATTAATCGAAGCACTTATACATAAGCGAAGCGTTAACGATACGACGATAGTATTAAATTTATACACACGGATACACGTGCGTAAATAAACACGCATACATACACACACACACACATACCCAAAATACGTACGCGTATATACATATATATACACTCGAGGCCGGACGTGTCAGTTCCCGTAGGTTTGCCAGGCACCCTTTTTCTTCTTTTTTTTCACCTTTTTTTCTTTTCGCTCCTTGATCGCGCTGGCGTACCTCACTGTGTTCATCGTGATTCGGTGCCTAACAGAAACGAGCGAAAGGTAGAAATTGCTGATTGATAGAGAGAGAATGAGGGAGAGAAAGGGGTAAAGGTGACGAAGCGTTTCGAAGAAACGCGATGGGAGGGGGAGGAATGGGGGGAGGGGTCATTCAAAAACGCGAGAGGGATATGACACGTCCGCGCGTGTGGCATTGAAGAAAAAAAAAAACAGAATAAACATAAAAAATTATACACGTATGTAAGTAACTTTTAGAGTATTTGAGTAAAAAAGAGGCATACATAGCTGATAGTGTTTTATTAAATGTTGTGAAAAACGTCTCTCGTCTGTCTGTCTGTCTGTCGTCTAAATGTCTAATGTCTCTGTCTTTCGTCTTCATTTTCTTGCCGTTTAACGTTAAAAGCGACTGAAGCTAACCATCCTCGCAAGATCATTTAAGAATTTAGAAATTTAAATACCAAGAAGTTGAAACGATTAATAAATCAACTGATAAAAAAACGGGTTCAAAACTGCAACAGGATGTCCATTCCGTACATTATAATATAATAAACGATATCCACACCCTGTTGCGGGTCTAAGCCTCCTTTTTCATCAGGAATTTACAAATTTAGGAAACAAAAGAAATTGGCAATAAGAGAGTGAAAAGACATTTGACATTACGCATTAATTACCGCGTCGACTCTCTTATTGCCTATTTCTTTTATGTTTCTTATTATTATTGGGAGTCCTTAATTATTTTATTATTAGAAATTTAGTTTAACAGAATAAGATCTTTTTATCTTCATTATTCGCGATTATTCAAATCGGGAACTGAACCAGTCGCATTTAGCGCTAAGAGCGTGTGACCACCTCTCTGTGTGCTTCACCGCATTTTTTACTGATAGAAGACCTGACATTCCAAAGAAAGATAATTTTTATCCGTCCTTGTTATCTGTCTCATTCTAACACGTTCATGATTTTCTTTTCTTCTTTACCTCAGTATATCATATCATCAGGTCACCCTGACATTGGTGACCACATTTTAGAGCCTTTTTTTCCTCCAAGTTTCTCTCTACAGCGACACCTACAGAAGTAATAATTATAGTTGTTTTCTTTTGTCTTTTCTGGTAAACTTTCGTTAAAATTGAAATATATGTGGGACGTGGGATTCGAACCGGGAACATGCCGACTAATAATAATAGTTGATCGTTTTCATAATGAGCCACGCACCTTTTCCGATAATTCTTTTAACGTAACTTATTTTCTTCTACTTTTTAATTATTTT